GGACATTGTTTTGTTATTTGTGATAGTCGTTCTTTTCCACTTTCATCGTTGATGGATTCTGGAGCTTCAAAGTGGTGTTCACAGAAGAAACTTGATGTGTATTGTCCATTCATTCTTCTTTTTTTCCTGCCTACTTTTTCAAGTCCTTCATGGTGGAGATCAGAGATCCTGAGGGAAGGAGGCATCCATCAAGTTCATCTCCGGAAATGTTTTTCGGGAGGATCTCTCAGGATGATCCATATCAAGACACAACCAGAGGTAATACAAGGCTCTCCCATTCGACAGAGAGGTCTCAGCCGTCTCATCTTCTTTATGACTTCTCTTCTATAGAACACCACCTCCTATAGTATGAATTATGCATTTTAAATTCTGTCTCCTACACAGGGAAGAATAGAAGGAAGTTCACCGTTCCTGATGGTGGAACTGAAACAAAGATTGAAAGTCCAATTCAAGTAAGAGGAAATTAATCGATTATATTTGGATGCTCCCTTTCCTTCAGAAAGTTAAGCTGATGTACATAGACAGTCTCCTTCCATTTTTCCTTCTTGTTTGGGTTGGCTTATTTTTGTGTTCCTGAACAAGATTAAAAGTTGAAGTAGGTTCTTTTTAGGAAATCTTTTTTAAAGACCATGACTTTAAATAACTGCTTATTGTTTCCAGTTTTTATTATTATCATTGCACTTATGCTAATTATTCACTTTTCAAATATTCCTTCTGAATGCTCATTTTTTGGTAACTCTGAGATTTGTGAAAGGATGCTGAAAACTGTCTAAGTATTCACACTGGCAATTACCATTTTTTAAAAAAGCTTTTTCATCAAGGCACTTTTAGCTTCCAAATAAATTCTAATAGCTTGTTTTATGCCAGAATTTGGAAGCCAAACAGTCCAGTTTTGCAAAAGCTAAAAAATCTATTGCTTCAATTAAAGGCTTTTGGTTCTGCCTGTTTTCTGCTTGTAGACCTTGGAATCATAGCAAGCATAGCCATTTACCTTAGTTACATAAAGTTGTTTTGGGAATTTATAAACAATAGAACCGGTGTTTTTCACAATTCCTCCTGGACCTTCAGTGTACTCTTCTTTCCCTGTCAGGAGGGCCTTGTCTCCTTTGAGGATGTGGCTGTGTATTTCTCCGAGGAGGAATGGTCTCAGCTGGATCCTGACCAAAAAGCTCTGCATTGGGAAGTCATGCTGGAAAATTACAGGAACGTGGCCTCTCTTGGTAAGGGTCTTTCCTATTCTTCAGTCAGAGACTTCAGGAAGATATTTTGTAGTTGGATACCACTGGCTGTTTCTTATTTTAAAAATCTCAGATAAATTTTATTTCTGGAGAGGAAGCAGGTAGAAATACGCCATTCTCCTACTCCTAAGAAGGAAATAAATCTGTGGCGTTCTCTTTAGATCCGTCATGTGCCATTTCACATCTGATGTATTTTCTATTTAAACATGTCAGTGACAAAGTAATTTTTTGGCTTTATGTAGTTTCTGAACTCCATCACAGGTTTCAGCCTTTTTGGCCCAGATAATTCCATATCAATCCTGTGAAGCCGTGATGGCGCAGTGGTTAGAATGCAGTACTGTAGGCTACTTCAGCTGACTGCCAGTTACCTACACTTTGGCAGTTCAAGTCTCACCGGCTCAAGGTTGACTCAGCCTTCCCTCTTTCTGAGGTTGATAAAATGAGGACCCAGATTGTTGGGGGCAATAGGCTGACTCTGTAAACAACTTAGAGAGGGCTGTAAAGCACTGTGAAGTGGTATATAAGTCAAAGTTCTGTTGCTATGACACCCTGTTGTTCAGATATGTGGGTTAACTACTTCGGTTTGATTTCTATCCTGAGCCTTGGAATTAGGTATGAAATAGTGCCAGTTTTCCATGTCAAACATGCAACTTAAGGTTAATAAAGAACACTAGATTTCTCCTCCCCCCTCAATTTTGCAATTTTGGTAGAAGAAAAAAAACAAAATGCAAAGGGAACATATTTTGTGTGAGAAGAAAAAGATGAGTTTCAAAGCGGAGTTCTCACAGCTCTCTGTTGGAGTTGGCAATACATGTTAGGTTTTCTCCTAATACATCTTTGGAAGTTTCCTCTGATTTTGCTTTAACTCAGAGCTGACTCTTGTTGAGATTTGAATATGTATGGATAATTATAAACAAAAAGAATGTTTACTGTCCTTAAATCTTTTATGCTTCATTAATGTGGGAATTATCATTTATACCATTGTAAGCAATCAAACATGCAATATTAGAATTTTAAAAGTTTCAGAAGCAATAACAATGATTTCTCACTGATTGCTGTCGTATTTATTTCTCTTTCTCACTGATTGCTGTCGTATTTATTTCTCTTTCCCTTGAAGGTGATAATGAGCAGGACCATAAGGAATCAAGGGAATCATTCCAAGACTTCAGACGTGCAGACGTAATGGAGAAATCTGCAATTCAAATGGAATTCCAAAGGCAGGAGAGAAACCCCTCAAATAATTGGAATAAGGAAAGCTCATCTTCCATTGAGGCTCACCTGCCCAATTTTCTTCAGCAACTGGAAAAAATAGGAAAAAAATATATTTGGAAAGGTGTAAAACTATCCAAAGACAAATTAGAGGTCAATGAACATAATCCATCCACATCCAAAGGACAAGATTATAAACGCAAAGACAATGGAAAAAATTACTGTTGGACTTTTCCATTTTCTCCGGAAAATGGGTCTCTAACATCGCATAAAAGTCTTCCCATCGGGGAGAATCCAGAGAAAGGCACGGAGAATGGAATAAGCTTCTGTGAAAGGAAGACTTTTACTGCTCAGGAAAGGAACCAGAAGGAAAAACCATATAGATGCATAGACTGTAGAAGAGGATTCCATAAAGTTGCATCCCTTGTAAGACATAAGTTAATTCACACAGGTGATGCACCATATAAATGCACAGAGGGTGGAAAGAGCTTCAACAAAAGGAGTAATCTTAAATCCCATGAAATGATCCATACAAGAGAAAAGCCATGTAAATGTACGGAGTGTGGAAAGACTTTTAGTCACAGTAGTGCCCTTATTTGCCATCAAAAGATCCACACCGTGGAGAAACCATATAAATGCACACAGTGTGGCAAGGCTTTTAGTCAGAGCACTCACCTTACTTCCCATAAAAGGATCCACGCAGGAGAGAAACCATATAAATGCATGGAGTGTGGAAGGTCTTTTAGACATAGCTATCAACTTACATCCCATAAAAGGATCCACACAGGGGAGAAGCCATTTAAATGTACACAGTGTGGCAAGACTTTTAGCCGGAAAAGTATCCTTACTTCCCATCAAAGGATCCATACAGGGGAGAAACCATATAAATGCACACAGTGTGGAAAGGTTTTTAGTCAGAGCGGTGACCTTACTTCCCATCAAAGGATCCACACGG